GGAATACTATTCAGCCATTAAAAAGAATGAAATGCTGTCATTTGCAGCAACATGACTAAGCCTGGAGGCATTATGTTAAGTGAAATAAGCCAGACACAGAAAGACAAATGTCACAAGACCTCACTCATATGCGAAGTCTTGAGAAGGGGAGATCACAGAAGCAGTAAGTAGAACAGCAGCTACCAGAGGCTGAGGAGGGGCCAGCGGCGGACAGGGAGAGGCTGGTCAGTGGGCACAAAGTTACGGTGGGAGGAACAAGCTACTGCACAGCAGGGTGACTAGGGGCTGGGCGCAGTGGCTTTTGCCTGTAATCCTAGCACTTTGGAAGGCTGAGGTGGGTGGATCACCTGAGGTCAGGAGTTCAAGACCAGCCTGGCCATCACGGTGAAACCCTATCTTTTAAAAATAAATAAATAAATAAATAAGAAAAAAAAAAACAAACAATGCTGCCTTGTGTATTCCAAAATAGTTAGAAGAGAGAATTATGAATGTTCTCACCACAAAGGAAAGATGAATGTTTGAGATAAGGAACATACTAAATATTTGATTTTTACACAATGTACACATTTACTGAAACATCATAGTTTACCCCATAAATATGTACAATGATTATGTGTCAGTAAAAACAAAAAAGTAAAAAGCAAAACAAAGCAGCAGCCACAGACAGGGTCAGGTGTACCGCCACCCTGTGCACACACAATCCTATTAATATCTACAAACCCATCTTCCACCCAGGTTCCAGAACCTGCCCACCCCACCCAGTTCTCCCAAGCACACAATTCAGAATCCCGCCTGTGCTGTGGCCCATAATCAGCAAGGCCACGTTCATAGCCAACAGCATCCGTCACTCATCCCCATCGTCATCTGGTCTCCCCAATTCCTTCTGAGTCAGCCCTGAGCTCAGATCCCCCTCATCTGCTGTTCTTCCTTGACATCCTTCTGAGTCCTCCACCCCTCCTTCTCTCTGCTTCCTCCTCCATTCAGAAACAGGTCCCTGCTCTCCTTCCTACAGATCACAGCGTCATGGAGGTGCTCTCCTTTGACCAAGCCGTGTCTCCTGAGATTCCCCTCCCTCTCTGTCCACCAGGGAGGCCATGGCAAGATCGCATGCAACTGTCACCTCTTATGTCACAAGGCAACTGCCACTTTCTTGGGGAAACCCAGTCCTAGAGACTCCCAGGACAGAGCTCTTTTCCCTAGGAAATCCTCCTCGGCAGCCTTTGCCAAAATCGTGCTGCAAAAAACAAGTCTAGTGTTCTCATGACACCTGTAACCCAGATCTTAGTAAGTCACCACACTTGGACTGGCCAAGAAGCCCAGGCTTCCCCTTCTTTCCTTCCTGCGCCAGGAGACACAGTCCCACATCCACACTAAAGAGACCTAAGCCTGTGTGTCCCTTTTGTTATGGCTGCCCCTAAAAGTAATAACCCAGTTCAATGCCGCGTGACATGGGCTGTCTCGCTTCAGCAGGCTGAACTGTGGATTCCAGTAGTTCGCTTCAAACTATATCATCAATGTGTTCACGGTTATACCATTTCTTGAGTTTCTATCTATATGCCAAACAAACCCCAGTGGACACAGCAGGAGTGAGAGCCGCAGAGGGAAACACAGCGCTCAGGGGAAATCAGAAAACAGCCTCTCTCCCTGAATGTGCATTTCTCTCGGATTGCCTTTCTGGGAAAGTGTGGCCCAGCTGCACAGCCAGCCGGCTGGGAGGGTTTCTGTGAAGCCTCAGCCCCCACAGTCCCCACAGACCCTACAGCAGTACCCCCCGCCAACCCCACGCCTCCCCCGTGGCTCTTACCTGATATTTTGACTGGACTTTGAAAGCTGGGTTGAATTTTATGTACATTATCATTTTTTAACACCTGATCCAGAGGAGATCTTTCAAAGAAGGTGAGTACAACTTCTGATCTAGAATACTGGGGAGATACACAGGGATTACTAAAAATGAACAGCCTCCACACACTGGCCCTATCTATCAAGAGGTGGCCCTGCTCCTCCACAGAGGTGGCCCATGTGACGCGAATGCCCCATGAATGTCCGGACGCCCCATGGCTGACCGCAGGGGCGAGGCTGCCCTTACTGCCCAGCCCTCATGTGTTCATAGCTCAGGCGGCAGGAATACAAGGCCTCAGCGACGTGGGCAGTGGAGGGAATCACAGCTCCGATCGATGCAGTTTCACTCACGCCTCCCTCCCTCTATAATAACTGTAGGCCGTGTCCACTCTCCCCATTTGCCAGGAAGAAATGGAAGCTGCCAGGAGTGAAGGCGGACTGCCTGGCGCTCAAGTCCAGGTTCTTAACCACCACTCACGCCGAAGGCCACAGGCTGACGTGGAAATCCATCAAATCTACGCAATGTGCCCCACTGTGCTGACGCCAGCGTTCCGCATGGCTTCTACATGTCTGTTCTAAAACCCCCCTCGCAAGACAGTGGATTCTGAGCCAAGGCAGAAAGCAAAGCCCTCCGCAGCTGAGGGGCCCCATGCCCTTCCTGCTCACGTCTCCTTGTATCCCTCACTTCCACTCTGTTCCCAGGGAGGAAGCACCAGGGCCACTGGAGCCCACAAAAGCCTTCTTTCCCTGATTACACCTGCACGCCTTCACCCTCATCCCTATCACCCGGTACTTCTAGCGGGGGAACAAACTGGCAAATGAGCCAGAGTGAGTCAACTCTCTGGGAGACGGACGCCTTTCATAGTGGGAGGTGCCAGGCCTCCCACATCCCCGCCCAGCCCGGGGCCGGACCACACTCACTTTACAGGGCATGCTTATGATCATCTTCAGCAGCTTCTCCACCTCATTGAGCCTAGTCTCTATGTCATGGGCCTCCTTTATGGCAACCAGTCCTAGAATTGAGACAGAAATGCCCAAAGTCAGAAAAGCACATCAGGAAATGCGCTCCCAATTCAATCCACAACAGGCGCCCACGAACGGCCAGCATGGCCCTCTGTAATGAATGAGACGTCGGGAACATTTGCTCAGCCTCACGCAGCTACAGCCCCATCCTGGAAGGCCTGCTCTAAGCTTCATTCGACGTTTCAGATACCCAATGAACGATAAGTCTGTGATGGAGTTGGTGCTGTCAATCTCAAAGTGGGATGAGAGGCGTAAGATCCCTCCAAGTGGGGCAGCCTGGCAGATTCCATAATCACCCTGGTCACGGCCAGAGCTCAGCCCAGGGCGGCTCAGGTCCCATGAGCATGGTGGCCACAGCCGGGGTGCTGGCCCAGGACCAGCCCACCCCCAATGACACAGGGAAGGACTCGCTCTGCTGGCCACGGCTGCTCAGATCACAGACCCCTGGAAATGGAGCCCCTGTTTAGACCAGTCATTTACATGCCATGTTCAGAAGGAAAAGAAGTCAGATGTCTGCCTGGAGAAAGTGGACATGACTCATGCCACTTTCCAGGAATCTGAGCTTCCGTGCTTCTTACGGTCAACCACATGCTTGAGTGGCTCTTACAGTATTTTATTTTTAAAACACCACAACTCAAGGCATGAAGACTCGGGTGCTTTTCTAGCTCCTCATGAGAAATACAGACAGAGCAGAAGTCTTCCCATCACAGCTGCTATCCCTCAGCTTCGCAGGGATGGGGAAGTAGGTTCCCAAGGATATTGGCCTCTCCCCCACACTGATGTGACTAAGGCTGATGCAAACGTGCCTGTGAGCGGCGACGAAACCACAAAGCCTTAAGTTCTAGAACTATTAATGGCAAAAACCGTGATGACTGCCTTTAATTCTGCACCAACCTAGTATTTCCAGTCACAGAGGCTAAGGTTTTCAGAAGTTCTGGTCTGATTTTGTTTTACAGGGTAAAAGTCTGTTCAGTTTTCAAGCAATTCATTGAATAGGTTTATAAAAAGAGATAAAAATAATTTCTGCTGGGTGTGGTGGCTCACGCCTGTAATCCCAGCACTTTGGAAGGCCGAGGCAGGTGGACCACAAGGTCAGGAGATCGAGACCATCCTGGCTAACATGGTGAAACCCTGTCGCTACTAAAAATGCAAAAAAAAGAAAAAAAAAAAATGATTAGCTAGGCATGGTAGCACACACCTGCAGTCCCAGCTACTCTGGAGGCTAAGGCAGGAGAATCACTTGAACCCGGGAGGTGGAGGTTGCAATGAGCCGAGATGACGCCACTGCACTACAGCCTGGGCGACAGAGTGAGGCTCCAACTCAAAAAATAAATAAATAATAAAAAATAAAAAAAATAAGTTCTCATACTTCCTGACTAAAGTTAAGAGGCTCCAGAGCACAGAGCCCATGGAAACTCCCGCCACGGCTCCCTAGACATAGATAGAGGCACTCCTGAAAGCATGGGCTATCACAGGGACATCCTCATAACTGGGGTCCACAGGAGTCAGTGGAGGCCAGGAACCTTCTCCCCACTTCCTCAATCACGTGCCAGTTGCCCCTTGGCCTGGCTCAGCTGGTATCCTAGCAGGCATCCCTGCCTGGCAGTGTCTGACCTGCCCCCTCCACTGACCTCAGCCACCCGGGCCCAAGCGGCCAGCTGTGCAGGGTATAAGTGTCCAAGCGGGGCAGGCTCTGTTGTCTGCGAGTCACCCACTAGTAAACCTTGGGGCCTCCGTCCATGTGGTCTGTGCCTACACCTAAACACAATTCCCTGGCCGTCACCAGAGGAAGGGACTGGACCACCCTCTGCCATCTTCCCCAACCTCACCCCACCTCCCCACATGCTGAGGCGAGCAGGGGGCAGAAGGAAGAAAAACAGAAAACAACAAAAGTAACCGACTCTCTGGATGTCTCTTCCCCAAGCCCTGAACTCCTTGCATAGAATTTCTAATATTTATATACTGCAATCTACACAGAATTTCAAATATTTATATACTACAAGATGTATATATGCGCCGCTCTTTCAACCAAAATGCTTTGATCCTCTGCTTGCTACAGGGAAGTCTACCAAGGAAAACGGAGCCAATTCAAAATTCCGAAAAAATTGTTTTTAAAGAAAAGACAATTATATAACTCATTCCCACAAAGCACTTCTTTATTTGAAGACACGCAAAACTACTGTTCTATTTCAACTTTTCTTACAGCTAGAATACTAGTTTTAAGTTGATCAAATGATGACACAGTAGTTGTATTCAGTTTACAAGATCAGCTTCTTGCATAGTCAATGCATCCAGCACATGTATACTCATTTCATAGGACAGAAAGCGCGATCTAACAGTTTGTAAGTATCACAGGGTTTCATAACACTTTTATCTTTGCTTGGCTGACATCTCTTTGGCTACATGTTTGATTTGATTCATGTGCACCTCTTGGTTGGCTTGCTAACCTCCAAGGGTAACACTAGGGAGATAAATACATTCTGTGGTTCACTGGTCTCCTTTTAGTATGACCAAATTTAGCAAATAAAACACGGCATGCCTAACTAAATGTGAATTTCAGATAAACAACGAATAATGCAAAAGCAGGGACAGACTCACACTAAAAACATATTTGCTGCTTATTTGACATTCAGACCTAACTTTGGATCCTGTATTTTATCTGCTTACACTATCTTCTTTGTGACTCATCTTCCAGACTAAATTACAGAATGGCAAGTGTACCTGCTCGGGCCCCTGGAAACCCTGTTAGTATTTTAGTTGAGCGTGCAGACCCTTCTCCACCCGACCCCAGCCCACCTACCTCACCAACTCTGTGCCCTGTAAAAACCCACCCTCACGCCAACCCTGAGACACGTTAGTATTTTAGTTGAGCGTGCAGACCCTTCTCCACCCGACCCCAGCCCACCTACCTCACCAACTCTGTGCCCTGTAAAAACCCACCCTCACGCCAACCCTGAGACACAGGCCCTCGCTGTCCAACAGCCTCCAGGAGAGCTGTCCTCCGGCCTCCCTCACCTCCAGGCTCACGATGGGGCAAATCCACTCGGGCAAAAGCCACCTGCTCTGTGACGATGGGACTGGGTCCTCCCTGTGGGCCCAGAAAGCCCATCCCGCCCTCTACAGCCTCTTGCCCCTCTACGATGACTGTGCTTCACCTGCGGGTCTCCCCAGGGACTAGTGGGAGCCATAGGGCAGGAGGCGCCATAGGCTCATCTCCCAGTGACCAGCAACCAGCACAGTGCCCGGACCACGCAAGGGATGCAATGGTCGCTGGCTGTTTGCTGGCAGAATAAACTTGCATCACACGAGGCACAAGTAGACAGGTGTTAGTTACTCTCCTGTGTGGGTTCCAGCTGCCCTGGGGCAGCACCCCAGCCTCAGTCTTCTCGTCATTACCCTCTCTCTGCCTGATCCCAGGCAGAAATGACCAGCAGCAGGCTCTTAGGTCACCAGCCTCAAAGAAGAGTCTCCAGGGCCAAGCGGCAGTAAAACTGCTGAGCCACGCTGGTTTGACTTTATTTGCAGAAATGTGCAGAACCACATTGCTTCCTTTCACCTGTTTTTATGTTTCTGGATGGAGGCCAAATTGTGCTCCTTGAGAATGTAAACACGCTTACCAACCAAACAAAAGCGGCCTGGGAAAATTTAAATGGGGAAAGTGAGGAGCTGGAATCCCTCCCTGCAAGCACAGAAACGACCAGTGCTTACTCTTTAAGCCCTAGGCTTTTTAGTTAGGGCCACTTCCATTAAAGAATTCCCTGTTCCAGCTGCTCGTGGTGACAAACTGTCATCTGGATCAGCTTTCTCAGGACACTGCAGTCCCTTCTCCATGGAGACAGTCCACCTGAAAGACAACAAGTGCTGGTCCCTTCGCCAGGAGGGGCCGCAGCTGATTCATGAAGTGATGAATTCTGCTAAACTTACTGAAACCCACATGATTGACGGCAGCACAGTGGGGCGGCGGCTGCTCCAGCTGCTGCGAGAGGAGCTCCGGAGCACACCCACCAGAATGTGGTCGGGTGCTGCCCTGAGCAGCAAAGACCTCCCCCCCACCCCCAATCAAGATGTGGCCCCGATAAGAGGCTACAGACAGCCTGGCCTTCTTAAAACGCCAAAGTTCACATCTCCCTACTCCCCCCTTCGATTGTTTTTAAAATGTTTTAAATACACCAAACGGATGAGTGTATTTCATGTGGAAGGAAAATGCTTTTTAAAAAAAACTGTGTAGCTGTCCACTGGGATCACAGCGCAGAAATGAAAGAAGTCTTCATTTTGCAATTTTGGATGGTTTTACTCTCTGTTCCACAGCTGAAAACCTCAAATGCCTGCTGCCACCACACCAAATGACAACTACTCAAATTTATAAAGAAAAGGTTCTGAGCAGAATCCACATTTAAGACACTGCTTTATTTTCCAGGGACAGATGAGAAGAACTATGAGTTTAAGAAATACTGCTTCCCCCAGAGCAAACTATTGTGCGCATTTGTGTTTCTTTCTATCCTACCTGGTGTACTCTTCCTTCGTAACTCAAGTGCTTCGGCTTCCGATGGCTAGTGGAACTTTTCCAAATGTCACCTGTTTATCATAAGCAACGATTTGAAAACTTGTTTTCAAAACTGCACTTAAATACAATTAAGATCATCTAAAACTTTTGCTTTTATATTCCAAATATTGTTAATGGTATAACAATTCTGTGGGGCTCTTGTCCGAGTTAGTTTTACTGTCTGAGATCACACAGATAAATACCGCAGGCAGGTAAGAGGGCTGCCTATTCTCTTAAGAGAACCGTCAAACGGAAGCAGAGCAGCTTGAGTCAGCTTTCAGGACTGGCCAGAAGGAGGCGCGCACGCTCCGCAGAAAACGCAGGAAGGCGTTCACTGCAACGCACGCTTAGGGACGTCTTAAGCTCAGAGCTCACAGCCCCGGAAACTGTTCTAATTTCTGATAAAGTATAATCACTAATATGACCTCAACTTTTAAAATGTCATCCTACACAATTTGTGACATGAGAATTTCATCCAGATGTAGCCAAAGAGTTAAGAATTTGAAACCAAAAAACTGGTAACACGACAGTACATAAACACCAGTGGGTCAGCTGGACACGCACTTGGGGGCTGAGTATCAGCAGGAGGCAGCGGTGGGACTTTTCTTTCTAAAGGAGTTTGGCCTGGGAAGTTGAAAACACAGCATGGTATCTGTCAGTTTGGGATTCGCTGCTTTCTGCAAACACAAGCACCTGATTTGTTCTTGGAGACACAACTGAACGCGCTGGAGTCAGCACAAGGATCTGACAGTGAGAGCCAACATAAACAAACGCGGCTTCTGAGTCTCAGAAACCCGGGTCCAGAGTCGCACTTTTTTGGGAAGTGTTGAGGCTTTGGGCTCCACACTTGTGGTAACTGGCCCAGCTTCCTCAGGGAGGCCCTTGGCCATCTGACTAGTGGGAGGGCGTCCTGCTCCCACAATTCTGAAACCCCAAGAGGGATGCTGCTCGGGTGCGCTGGGAGGTCACGCATGAAGGACCGTCCACTACCCAAAAACAGGCCTCTCTGAGTGCTCTGAGGACGCTTTCCTACATGCACACAACAGACAGCCCCGGGGAAACGCTCTTCGAAGTGAACTTTCAGACTAAATCATAAATTACATTTCCATTGTGTCCTTTCCATTTAACAAACGTGCCCATCAGCACACTACACAGACGCAGAAGTGAAGGGGGGATGGAGCCTCATCTCGTGTCTGCATAGGAGGCAGACACTCTCTAAAGGTGGAGTATAATACACATTTTGGAAAATAAATATCTAAAATGTTTCGGGAAAACCTTTAAAACTTCCTAAGTACCTGTTTTCTAAACAGGCAGTCAATACTTAGAAGCAGCCAGTTAAGAACTCACTAGCTGGTGATTCGATGGATAACTAAGCATCCCAAGGAAGTTCTAACTCCCCGGGAACCTGGGGCTGCTCTTTGCTCTGAGACTCACGCACTTCCGCACTTCCACCTGCGCCAGGACAGAAGGCTTCCCCCCACACCTCCACCCTGCAATGCACCAGGGGTGCCCAGCAGCTGGTCCACAGCCAGCCCCACCCCCCACCCTACAGCTTTTCAGGAGTGAAGAGCTGAGCTGAGAACGCAGGAGGAAGAGATGGAAGGGGTGGAGGAAACAGAGAATGCCCGGAGGACCCAAGCCGGGGCCTGAGGGAAGCCTCCCTTTCTTCCTCTGCAGCAGCTACTGCCTCCTGCACCTGGAACGAGGCTCCTGGAGTGAGTGGAAAAGACGTGTTTGACTTAACCTTACTGAGCTGCGCTCTTCCCATAATCCTGCCTTCTCTAGGCCTTTTCATTTTTCTCCCCACTAAAAGTCAAATCCCCTGGCTAAATTTTACACTCAACATTTTCCAACAGCCATCCACTTAGCCAGTCGGGCTTGCAGCAACACAGGTACCTGGCGGAGCGGCCCACCCAGGCGGGAAGGAAGCACTTGGCTCCCTCTACCCAAAGCACCACAGCTCCTCCTCCACCAGGCTGGGGATACCACGGCCAACAAGATGACGAGATCCCGGCCTCCCGGCACCTTCATGCTAGCCAGGAGGGCCAGCAGGAGGCAAACGCGGACCACAAAGTGTCCCCCACCTGGCAAATCCGGATGCTAAGAGGAGGTACAGCAGGGGATCCCCCCACTCCGGGGCAGGAGGCAGCCTGAAGGGTGAACAGATATAAGGGTGAAAGGGGTTGGGGAAAAGGGGAGTGCGATGGGGAATGTGGAGGGCAGGAGTGGGGAAGGCTGAGACCAGTAAATACAAGCAGGGTCTCACAAACCCTGTGAAAGGAGGTGACAGCTTCCCATGGAGAACTCTGTGCACTTGGCAATCCTTATTTATTTTTATTTATTTTATTTAGAGACAAAGTCTCGCTCTTGTCACCCAGGCTGGAGTGCAGTGGCACAATCTCAGCTCACTGCAACCTCCACCTCCAGGGTTCAAGCAATTCTCCAGCCTCAGCCTCCCGAGTAGCTGGGACTACAGGCGTGTGCTACTACACCCAGCTAACTTTTGTATTTTTAGTTGAGATGGGGTTTCACCATGTTGGCCTGGCTGGTCTCGAATTCCTCACCTCAAGTGATCCGCCTGCCTCGGCCTCCCAAAGTGCTGGGATTACCGGCGTGAGTCACCACATCCAACAATTCTTTCTTAGGGTCACAGGTACCCTGGCCCCGGGATTTTATGGTAATCCAAGTCTGGCCCACACCCAGCACCAATTCTAGTTTCTGGACCAGCAAGGCCACAGGCCCAGTCCTAGGGATCCCACTGAAGTCGGTGATGACCCCCTCTGTGGACTCTGTCTCTTTAGCCAGGGCAGGGGTATTCTCTCAGGGAGGATGGGGGGAGGTAGGCCCATGAGTGAGCCGTCCTGCCAAGAGCCAGCCAACACTCTCCCGCAGACCACTGTCATCAAGGGAATGCAGCACATGCCAGGGCAAAGGGCAGACGGTCCCAAAGCCAGCAGCCTGCACGCGTCCAGCCTGGTGCTGGGCCCTCTGCGGATACCACTGCTTTCGATGCTCGCAACCGCCCTGTGTGCAGATGTTATTACTGCTATAGCATCAGCAACGCACCCGAGGCTTGAGGAACTGAGCCACTTGCCTGGAGTGACATGTAGGTGGCAAAGCCAGCATCCAACCCTACCTGTCTGGGTCCAAAGCCAGTGCTTTCAGTCTGAGCCTGACCCCTCCTAGGAAGGCCTGGCTGTGTACCCAGGTAGGGGGATCCCTGAACCTGACCCTTCTCACTGTAACTGAGCTGTGTCCCAGGTGGCTGAGCCACGGGCTGACCCCTCCCACCACGGCCCAGCTGTGTCCCAGGTGGGTGACCCAGAAATCCGGCAGGCCTCGATCTTTGTGGTGAGACTGAGAACTGGCACCCGTCAAAGTCTGAACTGCAAGCTCTGCCCTCCCCCTCTGCGCCCGGTCCAACGGCTGCCCACCTTGTGTTTTCCTCTGAGTCTAACACATAAGCAGTTTCTTAAACATGGGAAGAAATCGTGCAGGTGTAAATTGGCAAAAGAGCTGCATGGTCTGTCTGATGTCCCCACTCCCTGTGGGGCAAGGCAAGAGGGGGCACAGCTAGAGGCGTCTGTCTGGAGAAGAATGTCACCACACGTGCTGAGCGCTCAGCTCCTCTCACCACCAAGCAGGGAGCTCAGATCCAGGTGCTCCTGAGCCGAGTCCTGGCTGCTCTGTGAGGAAGCTGCGGCTTTTCAGCACCGACCGCCACAGTGGAAGGCAGTAGCCCTGGAGGCAGGTCCGTCTGTGGAAGTGTCCGGTCCCAGCTGGGAGGTGAGCTCAGGTGTCACCTGAGGTCCAGGAGCTCAATCTGGGATGTCAGGGGCCGCAAACCAAACGCAGCCCAGTGGCCCTTTACAGAAAAGGAAGAGGATCCCAGGTACAGCAGGATAGGGGAAGCAGAGTGGAAGGCAGGCTTTAGGCTTGGGAAAGAAGAGCCAGACAGAAGGAAGAGAGAGGAAGAGGAGGCTGCGTGAAGGTGGGTGGTCCCACAGGAGCCCCAGCAGGGCGCCCCCAGTACATGGTGACTTGGCCAGGTCAAGAGAGTCAAAAATATGTCTGTGAGTCAGAAAAGAAGATCCAAGTCCCCTGAAAAGTGAAACTACCCCTGCTGGGTGGGGCCGAAGACACAGGTGAGGTTCTGCATGGGGGCAGGGCTGTGGCTGGAGGCAAAGGGCAGGCTCACCCAGCACCCCACTTGCAAGGGCCCACCGGCTGGGCCAGAGATGGTGCCTCTGTGCCCCTGCTCTGCTGCCCGGGACTGGTGTGGCCCATGATCATTTTTTAGCCACTGTCCCTAAGAAAGTCAACTCCCCGGCTTTGCAGCTGGCCCCTCAGGTGGGCGTCTCCCTTGTGTTTCGGGGTAACACAGAGCTTTCCCCTGTCATTGTCCACCTGAGAACAGCATGAGCAGGTTCAGGCCATGGATTGAAACACACATCTTCCTAGAGCTGTCACGGCAGTGGGACTCAGGTGGTCACACCTGTATCCATCCCTTTTCTGGTAATGTCCCGGATGCTAGTTCCCTGGCACTCAGCTCTCAAGTCTGAGAGTCTCCTAGCATGCGGGTAGATGAATGTCCTTGGTGATGACGGTGAGCACGGGCAGGTACATTAGCACCACACGGGCTCATGATCACGGGCCTTACTAAGAAAAAAGGCTAAAATCCCGCCTCCCAAGCCACCTTTTGCCTCATGCCAGCTCCTCCCGTAGACTCCTTCATGGCAATCCTGCCAGTCCTGCACCTCAGGCTGAAAACGCTGGGGTCATCCGCACACTCCTCTGCATTTCACGTCTGGCACTGCAGGGCCCCTGTGGCTCTCCCTCGATGCAAATCAGCATTTGCCCGCTTCTCCCACCTGCTCTGCTGCACCAGGCCCCAGCACCTGCCCTCGTTGGTCTTTCTCAGGAGAGCAGCCCAAGTTTGAGTCAGGCCACATCACTTCTCTGCTCAGAGCCCTCTCTGAATCAAAGAGCCCAAATGTGACCACAACATGCCCCTCTCCCTCCCTTCCTGACCAACACTCTCCACACCAGCCATTGTACCTCCTCACTCCCCAACCCCACCAGGCACATGCCAGCCTCAGGGCCTTTGCACTGCTCTTCCCACTGCCCAGAATCCTCTTCCCCAGGTATCCACTGGCTTGTTCCCCACTTTCCTTCAGGTCTCTATTCAAAGGTCACTTGTCCCTGATCTCTCCATCTAAACACAAAACCTCTTCCCTGCTCCTGCAAGTCACAGCTCCTTTCTTTGCTTACTTTTTTCTTTTGAACATTATCAGTATCTCTTATATTTTGTTACTTGTTTATCTTGTTTATTATTGGATTTCTCCCAACCAGAATATAAGAATCACGAGGGCAGGGATGTTCTTGGTCTCTTGTTCACTGCTGTGCCACCCTCACCTAGACACGTGGTAGGCACTGTGTAGACATTTGATGGAATGAATGAATGTAAAACGAAAATGTGGACTGTACAGCTGCTAAGAATCAAAGATCACCTGACTACTCGGGAATACAATTTGTTGCTGCAGGGGTGAGCTGGTTGGCTCAGACATGACAAAGCCTGAAACTATGAAAACAATGACCAAAACCGTCTAGGAGCCTCAAACTGCCAATAAGGAAATCCAGCATGTTAATGTTTTAAAGCCTAAACCTTCCTACATGTGACAGATGTAAATAAAGGGTAACCCTGAACCATGTTATGTATCGCACAGAGGGAATTTAAATGAAAGACTTGGGCCCACTGGTGTTGAGTTTGGAAAACATAAGAATGGAACACCGCCGGGCACGGTGGCTCACGCCTGTAATCCCAGCACTTTGGGAGGCCGAGGCGGGTGGATCACGAGGTCAAGAGATCAAGACCATCCTGGTCAACATGGTGAAACCCCGTCTCTACTAAAAATACAAAAAGTCAGCTGGGCATGGTGGCGTGTGCCTGTAATCCCAGCTACTCAGGAGGCTGAGGCAGGAGAATTGCCTGAACCCAGGAGGCGGAGGTTGCGGTGAGCCGAGATCGCGCCATTGCACTCCAGCCTGGGTAACAAGAGCGAAACTCCGTCTCAAAAAAAAAAAAAAAAAAAAAAGAATGGAACACCTTGGTAACCCAGCGATAATATCCCCAGGAAACAGCCAGCTCCCTGCCCTACAGCTGGGAGACAAGAAAGGGAGATGGGGCGTATCCTATCCAGATGGAGAAGGTCAGATGGGAGAACGAGAGTGTGAGGTAAGGGGCCAGAGAACAGAAGCTGAGCAAGTCCTGAGGACAGCCTGGTCCAACCTCACACAAACAGAAGGCCAGCAGGGTGCGCTAGTGAGCACTGTGCCTCCACCCCAGGCAAGGGCTGAGGTATCCCAGCAGATGTGAAACATACAAGGCCCAAGGATGGCCTCCAAGCACCACTCCAGTGTGTGTGCAGAGAGAGAAACGCACTTTCTTTCCCACTGCAATACTCAAGGGACCAAGAAAAGGGCTCAGCACCCCTTTAATTGCTAGCAGATTCAAAACTGCAAATGGGGCCAAAGTTCCCACACCCTCCAAGGGTGTGCAGACACTTCCAAGAGCCAGCAGAAGCTCAGAAACTCAGATTTCCTCACAAAGCTCTTAAATGGAACTAGAGGACGCAAATCTAACCCAGCCCAGAAACAGTTCAATACTTGTAAACTGGGGAATCTGATAGGGAATTATGCAGAGAAAAGCTGGCATTGTCAATACAGCACAGCAGGGCACACACATCTGGCTGCTTTTTGTGTTTATAGTTCGTATATCCAGACAATCTTTTTATGCAAATAATAAATCTGCATGGAAATAAGGGGCAATCTGCTTTTACATTACTGGGATATATTTTACTTGGCAAATAATTTCCCTGGACTTAAAAGGATCAAAGAAAAGGAAAGGACTTCCCTGGCGCTGCACAACAAAACCCACGTGGTGCTGGGCCAGCTAACTGCCCCAAGGAAAACCAAGGACTAGAATGGAGGCAGGACTTATGGTTCCCTCTCTGCCCCCAGGCTTCCTTCTTCACTCCCTCCAGCGGGTGCCAGACTGGCCCTCGCAGGAGTCTCCACCACCAGGACTCAACAGAGGCAGCAGCTTCAACAGTTCCATGGTGAGTGTTAGAAAGTTCTTTTCTTGGGAGGCCGACACGGGCGGATCACGAGGTCAGGAGATCAAGGCCATCCTGGCTAACATGATGAAACCCTGTCTCTACTAAAAATACAAAAAATTAGCCAGGCATGGTGGCACGAGCCTGTAGTCCCAGCTACTCTGGAGGCTGAGTGAGGAGAATCACTTGAACCCAGGAGGAGGAGGTTGCAATGGGCCAAGATGGCACCACTGCACTCCAGCCTGGACAATAGAGAGAAACTCCGTTCCCCTCCCCACTCCCCAAAA